CTCAGGGCCTTTGCACTGGCTATTATCCAGTCTGCACCTCTCCTCCTGGTCATCCATGGCTCCTTCCCTCCCTGCTTTAATGCCTTTACCCAAATGTCACCTCCTCAGGCCATCCTTGAGCACTGTAGCTAAACCAATGCCTTGCTTTGTCTTGCTTCACCCTGCTATTTTAGATACAGTCTACCCACTTATACACCTGCCCTCACTGCTGCTGCGGGCACGTTTTCTCGTTCACTAATGCCTTCAGCTCAAGAATGGGCTGAACTTTAGAGCAAATGCACACACAGGAATGAACAAACGAGCAATTTCACTCTCCACTACTCTGATTTTCAGAGTTTGAGAGCACCATCCTCATAAACCAACGCCTACGATGTGACAAGTAAAAACAGAAGGTGGGGACCAAGGAGGGACAGGAGAGGAGGAGTAAGAGGCCTGGACCAGAGACCCAGAGGAGAGGCCAGAGCAGGGAAGAGGGGGGCGGGGCAAGAGGCCAGTGGCAGCGCAGCTCACCTGCTCCTGCAGATGGTCCCACATGCCAGTCATTGGCTTCCGGTATAAGCCCGCGTGTGTGGCCACCAGCACCTATGGATGGGGAGGGGTCACACATCCTCAGCTCCCCCTGGAGCACCCACTGGATGCCACCTCAACCCTCACCAAGGCAGGGGGAGCTGCCAGTGACCCAGAGCTGGTGGCTTATGCTGGGCTTCTGTCAGTATAGCCCCCGAGGCCTCCACCCCTCATCCCAGGGTCCCTGTCCCCCCTCTTCTTCAACTGGGGTCTCATACCCCTCTCTGGGTATAAGCCCCTCAGCCTCCCTTCCAGCCGTACCTGGAAGGGAACCCCCAACTTCTCCACCACAGCCTCCACCTTGGCCTTGAACTCCTCTGCTGGCAGCTTCCCACGCCCAATGCCCATCTGGTTGGTGAAGATCACCAGCTGGGGAGCAGATGGGTGTCACCAGGAGCCCTCCTCACCAGGGCCCTGGTCTGGCCACCACGTGCACACACGCACGCACACACGCATATACACGCTGCGTGCACATACCTTGTAGCCCTCGGCTTCCAGCTCCCGGAGCTTCCTCGGAATCTCTGGGTACAAGATCCTAGGGTGGGTAGGAAACAGTAGGGGTCACCTGGGGCCCGGACGTGGACTCCAGGCCTCACTCGCACCCTCCTCTTGCCTCTTGTCACCTCCAGTCACTGGGGCCAGTGGGAAAGACCTTCCCAGAAAGCGTGGTGATGAGGGTCCCGTCCAGATCAAAACCGGCCACCTGGTGTCATCAAGAAAAGAGGAACAGGGGGGAGGGGGCAGGTATATACATACATAATGAGTGAGATGTGCACCATCTAGGGGATGGTCATGATGGAGACTCAGACTTTTGGGGGGAGGGGGGAAATGGGCATTTATTGAAACCTTAAAATCTGTACCCCCATAATATGCCGAAAAAAAAAAGAGAGAGAAAAAAAAAAGAGAAAAAAAAAGAGAAAAAAAAAAAGAAAAGAGGAACAGCAGCACTGTGACACCTCTGACCCTCCTCACTCAGGCTGACTCACAGCAACCCTGTGAGGCAGGGTCTATTACTACCCCCATCTTAGACATAGGGAAACGGAGTCACAGAGCACCTGCACGTCTGTGTGAGGACATGGCACAGCAAGGATGTGGCAATGATGCCCCAAGTGCAGAGCCTGAGATCTTCAGTGGCTCCCAGTACCCCTGTGCCCCCGCTGCAGTGCTCCAGTCCTTAAAATGGGGGTCAATATCTTAGCCACGCTTCTTCCCTGGCCGCCTCCACCATACAGGGTTAATAACCATGACAATAAAAACAGGAGCAAAGCTTTGATCAGTGCTAACTGCACATCAGGGACTGTGCCACATGGCTTTTCATGGAATCACCATCGTAGCAGTGAGAAGTGGGACTCAAGAATGGGGTGGTAATAGCGTTTGAACGCAAGTCTCTCTAGCCCTAAAAGGATACTCGTCATAACTCTTGCTGACATGGTTACGATCATCGCTGATTACTGGGTGGTTACGTGGGTCAGGCAGGAGCTGTCATACATCATTTTTCCCATTGCTTAAAATGACCCCGGAATTTTGTCATCAGACCCATTTCTCAGAACAGTACATGGAGGTTAAAAGAAGCTAAGAGATGCAAGCACACAGCAAACTTGAGGTTAAGTCCCCAGTATGTTGCTGCTCCTTTAGCCGTCAGCTTGGCCCTCACCTTGCGCTGGGGCTTAACCCCAGATGTTTTGAACACTAACAACTTCTCCAAGTTCTCCCAGCCGGGGGATGACTTCCGCATCCGCTTTTTCTGCTGCTCAGCTTCCTCCTTCTCGTCTGAGGCCACCGGAGGGGTGCCGGGTGGAGTATCTGGCTGGGACCCTGGTGTGCGAGTCTCTTCCCAGCACAGGGTCAGTGGGTGGAGGCCGTTGACCAAATATAACGTGTCCCCAACCCCTAGAGTGCCCTCCAACCCTGGCTTCAACTCCTGAGTCCCGGCAGTTGAGGGGTTAACTCCCAGCTGCAGAGGAAAAGGGAGGTGCTTTGACTGGCTCCACCCCCAGAGAACACCTCCTCCAATCAAATACCCTGGGAAAGGACTTCCCTTTCTGCATCTACCCTTAAGCCCCACCTCTTCACTACATATCACCAATCAGGGCTTTGGGAAGATTACAGGTTTCCAGTGTTGTCCAATTTGAAAGGTAATGGATGGACCACACCTCACTAAATGAGGCAATGCTTTACTGGCCACACCTCCTTCTCTCCCAGCCAATCAGATTTTTCCAATGGGTCTGTTCCCGCTAGCTTGTGATTCCTCCCTGAACCCCACCCCAGGCCTTGGTTCCTCTGACCCCACCCCAGGCCTTGGTTCCTCTGACCCCACCCCAGGCCTTGCTTCCTCTGACCCCACCCCAGGCCTTGCTTCCCCTTACCCCACCCCAGGCCTTGCTTCCCCTTTCAGAGGCACCGGTACCTGTTTCACTGCCACTGTCCGGGTTTCTGGATCTGCGACCAGCTCCACTGAGGGTGGAGGGGGTAGAGTCAGGATTTACATACTTTTCTGATTAATTCCCTCATTGATGGGGAGTGTCGCCAGCTTCAGGCTATAGCATCCATTTGGGAGGGAGTAGGAAGCAGTTTATTTCTAAATGGGACTGGCTCCTTGACATGTAATAGCCAGATAGAGGCCCTAAGATTGCCTGACACTGGTCCTTGCCTAGGGACAGGGCAGATACTTTTCTCTACAGAAGTGGCTTCCTCCTTGACAAAAAGTGTGGCTAGATGCAGGTCCTGGGCTTGGTCTGTTACGGTCCACCCCTTCCTAGAGACATTTACTTTTTTCCATAGGATCGTCTCTTTGGCAAGGGTTGTGGCCTGTTTCAGGCCTACACGATGGCCTATGAGCATCTTTCTCTGCCCAGTGACCATTCTCTCGAGATTGGCTCCAATCCCCTCTCCCCCAAGGGGCCTTGCCTAGTTCAAAAGTCAAGCACAACCTTTCTCTTCCTGTGCTCCCCAGAGAGCACCTTCCAACTTCAGGACTGGCTAGACACGCAATTTCACCTAGTAGCCAACTGTCTCTCTCACTGAATTAACTGTGCACCTTTCCCACTGCCAGTGTTCCCGCTGCGGAAGCAGGCTCCGTCCCGCCCACCTTGGTTTCTGGAACACTTCCGGTCTGTAACTTGGGTCAGGGGTCCCCGGCCCAGGACCAGGGCTTGCCCGCCTGAGGGCAGGAAGATTGGGGGCGCCCCTCCAGGGGGGCTCTCCAGCCACAGGCGGCCCTGGACCTCCACCTCTGCCATCCTGGGTGCCGGCCTATGGAGGAAGCAGATAAAGGGGCTGCAGCCGCAAGTCGCCCGAGTTCGCTACAGGAAATCCCGCCTCCTCCCACTACCACCAGAAATTCCCTCCAGCCTCTAAAGGCTCCGGAAATCCCACCCCCTCGCCGGGCTCGGGCTCGCGCCGTTTCCCAGGCGACGACGCCGGCTCCATCAGTCAGCTAGGTGGGATCCCCACTTCCCTAAGGCAGAGGCCAAGAGCCTCCCGCTTGCCGCCGTCTCGCCCCCACACTCACCGGTGGCCGCCGCTCGGGCTCAGGCTCCACTTCCGACCCAGGCGCGGCTGCTACCTGAGGCACTCTGCCCGCAGCTTCCCGGGCCACTCTCGGTGCCTCGGCGGACGGAAATGACTCGCCCCACGGGGGCGGGGCCGTGGCTCCTCCCACGGAGGAAGCCCCGCCCCCTCCCAGACCTCTGCCCCTTAGGGTCCCTCGGCAGCTCTGGCCTTCATCTCTCTTGCTGCAATGCGACGCTCTGGCCAGTAGGGGGAGCGGACCCTCCGTTCACAGATTTTCTTTCCACTTTGACCTCTAAGCTTTCTTTCCCATGTGATGATCATTGTAAGTCGAAGCCCCCCGCCCCTGACAGCTCCCCTAGACCTAGGTAGTTCGTTCTTTTGATCTACCCTCGATGCTGCAGTTTTCCCGCCTGTAAAGGGGACAATCGTTTCCACTTTCTGGTGTTACTAGGATTAAAGGAGTTAATACATACAAACAGCTTAGAAAAGTGTTTGAGTGGTACTAAGCACTGTTTAAGTCTTGTCTATTTGTTAGCACTCTTCCCGTGGTGATCACACGGGAGATGCAGATTCCGTGTTTACCGGGTTCTAACTTCGGACCAGGCTCTACCTGCGCTCTAACCTCGAGTCGTTTTCTTATGGCAGGAAACTCCCGGCTGGCGGTTCCTGGCTTTGCTGGGGAATATGTGGGCTCCAGAGACTGATTCCTTAAAGACCATTCTGGTTCCAACACTCATCCCCCTGAAGATTGGGGTTCCATGGTCACACAGGAGTAGAATGCTCCGCTACCCCATGAATCTTCGTTTTCTTACCTATAAAATGGTGACAGTAATTCCAACTCTACTCTGAGAACCAGATGCTGCTCATTCAGCTTCAGAAAATGTTTGTTGAACACATGTAACACTCTTCACACTCATTTGTCAGAGGTAAAACTCTTTAATTTCAGAGCGTCCCTCCCAACTTCTGATCCCCCATCCCCCACTCTCTCCCCCACACCAGGGCCGGAGAGTGAGGCCCCCAGCCCCCCACCTCGGGTGGACGAGGGCCCTTTAAGGCACCTGTGGGGTTGGGGGAAAAGGGGCGGGAGCTGGTACCGTCCTGGATGCAGGGACGGGCTTCAATTGGCAGGCTGTCGGGGGGATGGAACCAATGACAGGAGGTGTCAGACGCAGGGACAGGATTGGGCCATCCCTAAGGAGGCCAAGGATACAAGTTGTCAGGACTTGGGCAAAAAACGACCCCAGCCCTAGTAGTGTAAAGAACCTAAATTGAAGGCCGCAGGCCAATTCTGGGTAGAGGAGGGCTTGGCCACGCCCCCAGGAGGCTGGAGCCAATCAGGTGGGAGAACTCGGGAAGGGCGGACGGTGACACTAGGGAAATTGGTCAAGCCCTTTACAGGATTCGAGCCAATCAAATTAAGGAGCTGCCCAGTCACTAGGTGGCGTGGAGCGCCACTACCCAATCCTGGGCCTTGGCTGTGCTCTATCAGGGATGGAGCCAATGCCATGCGAGCAAAGCCCTTGTTGCTAGGCAGAAAACAACGGATTTTACCCATTTAGGCTTAGACTGCCCCGATGCGGGAAGCGAGCCAATCTCTCAATAGAATCTGTCGCTGGGCAGAGAAAAGGGCAACAGACCCAATTGGGAGACTGGGCAGTTCCCGCTCCTCGGCGCCGGAGGTCGTGGCCCGAAGGGCGGCGGGGACTGGTCAATCCCAGGGCCAGGGAGACGTGGGGAGGCTGGCCCGGATCTGAACCGGATTGGCTGGCCCCGGAGGCGGGGCGGGGGTGTAGTGTGGGGCGGGGCGGACGCAGGGCCGGGACGCTCCCTGCCCGGCCTCAGGCCTCAGTATTTCCGCTTCAGCTTCTGGAAGTCGCTAGTGTTGAGTCGTGGCCGAGGCAGGTCACCGAAGACCTGGGTGTCCTCGGCCTCCCGCAGCACCAGCGCGCGCATGCTGGCCGCGATGCGGTCCAGGTCGGGCGAGGAAGGCTGCGGGGACAGCGACGGGAAGGGGTCAGCGCCACCACCCCCGGCTCCAGGCTGGCTCCCAGCACGCTTCCGGCTTCCGCCCTCCCACTCGTGCCTGGTGCCTGCGATGCCCACTGCCAGCAATGCTCTTCACCCTGACTCAGACGCTGTCTCCTCCGAGAAGCCTTCCTGCCCCTCCTCTCCTCTGCCCCTTCTTGGCCTGGGCCATTACTTTTCACACCCTGGAAGCCCCGCTGTCAGCTGACAGTTAAGGCTGTGTGCACCCAGCCGGTCACATGTCTGAGGATTCGGGCTGGAGATTCAGACATATTCCAATCAGACCTCTGCCACCGACTGTTAACAAGAATTTTCGCCTCTCTAGGCCTCAGTCTCTCCCTCTGAAAAATGGGGGTGATAGCAGTGTCCCTGTGAGGGCTGAGATGAGATAATCAGCTGTTACCATTCAAGAAAGGTGAACCACAGGTGGCCACAGCTGTACAGAAAGGATCCCTCCCCATGTTGGCCCCCACTGGGGAGGGTCCTGCAGCACCTAGTGCTACCTCCATTACAGCCCCTGTCACCCGGAGCTGGACCTGCCCCCCAGTAGAAAGGAGAGGCCATCAGCGGCAGCTGGATCTGCGCCGAGTAGACCAACCCAAGCACTCAGGAGGCCTAAGATCCACCTAATGTGTCTCCATGGGTTGCAAGCAAGGACTGTGCTGATGGACTCTGCCCTGTTCTTCATCTCCACCTTTCAATGCCTCTCTGGGCCCTCCTACAGCATGGGGACAGGGTCACCTTTGTGACTGCCGGTTTGCAAATGAGGACACTGAGGCCTGAGGGGGGTACGGGAACCCAGGCCTCCTCTCCCAAAAGCCGGGTTCCAGTTCCAGCTCTGCTCCTTATAGGCCCAGACTTAGGCAAGCCACGTCCTCTCAGTGCCTTGGTTTCCCCATCGCTTTAGGGAGTTTCAGTGATAAGTGAGGACTCACTCAGGCCAGGCCAGCCCAGCACTGTGAAGGAAGGCAGAGCACAAGGGGGTGGGACAAATTCTGGGAGGAGCAGGGTGGGCATGGGCAGCTGATCTGACTCCTCTGAGCCTCAGTCTCCCCATCTGGCGGGAATGCCAAAATACCCGCGCCTTGCCCAGAGCAGCTGTGCTATAAATGGTGCTGCTCCTGGAGGGACGAGGCTTCTCTACAAGGTACCAGGACACACGGGCTGCAGTAGTTAAAGTGCAGGGCTGTGGCCCGGCCACCCACCTCTTGAGGCGGAGAGGAAGACTCATCAGCCCGGGGGTGGAAAGCAGCATCCACGGGGGATGGTGGCTCTGAGCCCACGCGGCCACCCTCCGTCCCTCCCTCCCCCCAACAGGCCATTTGCCCTCACCTGCCCGTTCTCCTCATCTGATGAGCGCGCCTCTGTCCTCTTCTCCTTGAAGGCCCAGACGGGCACAGACACGGGCAGGGACTTGGCGTACTGCTGCGTGGGCAGGGCTGAGGCCGGGGGCACCGAGTAGCTTGGGGGGCCAGCGGGGGTCTCCTCGCTCAGGCTGCCGTCTGGGAGAGACGGTGGCCTTCAGCCTCTGCCCCTGCCCTCTTGCCAGCCCTCCAGGCGTGGGGACAGCCTGGGACACTCACCATCTGTGCTTTCAGGGTCCGACTCACAGAAGGGTGGCAGGTCTTGGAGGGTGGCATCCTCGTCCATCACAAAGAGCCCTGTGGATGGCATTAGAGACCCGGCCCAGTCAGGTCCCGGACACACCCCATGTGTCCTCAACCCGAGCCATTGCCATCGCCTCCCCGTGGCTTCTGTGATTACTATACCTTCTGTCCCGAACACCCTTCCCCTAGTTATCTGCCGGGTCATCTGCACAAGCGGGTCCAGGTTCTAGCATTCTGTTACACCCTCAGGTGCAAATAACTGGCTCTGTTAACGTGAAACCTCTCTAAGATCTGTTAGAAACGATGTGACTCAAATACAGGCTGAGACTAACACGGAGTGATTATGATCCCCATTTGACAATGGAGACCTGGAGAGGCTAAGTCACTTGCCCGAGGTGCCACAGCTACTTAGTGGCATCACCAGGAAGTCTGTGCCCTTCGCCCTATGCAGGTTTTCTCCCACAATGGTGGAGAGGCTAGCTACTGGTAATAACAAATGAGCAACTCCTGGTTTTTGAGACACCTGCAAACTCCTACTCACACCTCAAAGCCCTAGTGTTACAGTCCAGCTTCTGGGAAGCATCTGACCTCCTGCTTAGGAGGTACCCCCAACCCCCATGGCCTCCACAAGGCACTGCCTTATGTCACAATTCCAATTCCTCTGCCAGACTCAGAGCCTCTGGAGAAAATGGCCCGAGTCTGCTTTGAGTCTCGGTGCCCAGCACTCCCAGAGCAGAGCTGGCCCCAGGACACCAATGTAAGGGAACCGGTAAGGCTCAGAGACAGGAAATGACTGGCGTAGGCTCACCTAGTGACTCATGGGCAAGCCCTTCTGGCTGCCAGGCTCTGGAGACTGCAGTTTCTAAGGCACATCAGGGCTGGGAGACAAGCAAGCCCCACCCCAGGAAAGCCTGTGCGCGCAACTCCCGGGGCCCACTTACCTCCGTTGTCGCTGACGCCCAGCCGCTCGCCGGAGGTCTCGGTCTCTGTTTGCTCGTCCTCGTCCTCCTCGTCGTCCTCCCGGGCCAGGGCAGGCCGGGGCGGGCTGGGCGCAGGGCTGGGCGGCTGTGGTGCTGGCGGGGGCGCAGGGGGCCGGGCGGCGGCGGCGGCCCTGTGGGCCAGGGCGATGTCGTGGAGGCAGCGGCGGGCGGCCTCCGCCAGGGCGCCCCGGCCGTGGGCCGCATAGGCGCAGGGGCCCGGGCGGGGCGGCGGCGCGGCGGTCAGCAGCACCAGCTCCGTGCCGGTCCGGGCCCGGAAGCGCTCGGCGGCCCCCACCACGGCCTCCCACAGCTCCTCGGGGCGCCCCGACGCCATCCGCGCCCTGCGGGCCAGAGTAGGACAGCGGGCGCTGAGGCCGGGCCGACCGCACCCGGCTCACCCAGCCCCGCGTGTCCACGCGCCTCTCCCAGCCACCCTGTCCTTTCCACACCCCACAACGGGCCAGCCCCTGCCCCCTCCCGTAGGAGCCACCAGCCACACGTGGATTCGGAAGACTGAGTACAAAAGTAGAAAGCACCCCAGCTCAGTCACAATCCCATGCTCAGTCCATGTTTAAGTATCACTTTAGATAAACTGGCTAAATAAAATACGAATAAAATGAGTTTCATATGTTTTCTTTTTACCCTTTTAACATAGCTTCTAGAAAATTTAAAGTTCCACGCGGGGCTCGCATGGCATTTGTCAGCACCATCGCCTCCCTCCAGTCTGTCGGGCAGGAGGCGGGGAGGAGTCCCTCTGTACCCGGAGCTGACCCTGGCTCTCGCCTGAACCCCCAGGACAGGGTCCCAGCTCCTCAGCCCGCCCTTGGCCTCACAGGCTACATGCCTCTCTAGCCTTCCAGAGCCTCTGAGCCAGGGGTCCTCAAACTTTTTAAACAGGGGGCCAGTTCACTGTCCCTCAGACCGTTGGAGGGCCGGACTATAGTTTTAAAAAAACTATGAACAAATTCCTATGCACACTGCACATACCTTATTTTGAAGTAAAAAAACAAATGGGCAAAAACACCCACATGTGGCCCACGGGCCGTAGCTTGAGGACACGTGCTGTGGCCTACGGACAAGGTGGTCCCTATACGTGGAAATCCACCCGCAAAGACTCTGTACTTCCTGCAAGACTGTTCTGGCAGCTCCTCTCCAAGTCTTCCCTAATCCCCAGGATGGATGAGATGACTTCACTAGCCCCCACAATGCCCTGGGCTCCCTCCATTATAGCTCATGTCACCCGAGCTTGTGACAGCTGCCTGCCTCTTCTATCAGACAGTGAACTCCTCAAGAACAGGGACTTCCATCCCCAAGCCAGGTCTGCCCCAAGCAGACAGACAATCTGCTGGACGTGTCTCCTTACCAGGTAAGAAGAGCCAGGGGTGAGGAGGCTGGGTTCCTGCCCTGTCTCAAGTCTGCTGTGTGACCTTGGACCATTCACCAGCCCTCTCTGTGCCTCACTTTCTTCCCCTGTTAACCACAGTGGTTGAGCCAGAGCTGTTGGGTAGCTGAAGAGGCTCTTTGGGGAGGTGGTGAGCACACTGTCACTGGAGGGATTCAAGCAGAGCCCACCAGGGCTGCAGTGAAAGGGAGCAGGGAGTCTGGAGTTTGCATTCCAATTGCAGCCCTGTGTGACTCATAATCACAGAAGCTGGTGTTCGCTGAGCACCCACTCTGTGCAGCAACTCCACACCTAGCATCTCACCTTTTATCTGACCCGTGAAGGTGGGAGCTGTGAGCTCATGACCCCGTTCAGGGAGTACAAAGCCCTCCTGGACGGAAGGGATTTATTTAGCGCTTCATACACAGCAGGCAGGGACCCGAATGTGATCAACCTTCTCATCCCACCCTCTCACCGACCCTATAAAGGAGGAGCTGTTACCACCCCATCTAACCGTTGTCAACTCCAGTCCAGGGAGATGGGGCATCTGTTCTTAATTCCAACCGCCATTCTGCCTGCCTTAGAAAGACAGATATACGACCTTCTAATCCAGCTGAGGAAAGTGAGGCTCAGAGATCTTAAGATACCGGCCAGAAGGCACACAGCTAGACAGGGCAGAAGTGGGGCTCAAACTGCTATCTCCGGCTCGGAGTGGTGGCTCACGCCTGTAATCCTAGCTCTCTGGGAGACCGAGGCAGGAGGCTCGTTTGAGCTCAGGAGTTCAAAACCAACCTGAGCAAGAGCGAGACTCTGTCTCTACTATAAATAGAAAGAAATTAATTGGCCAACTAATATATATAGAAAAAATTAGCTGGGCATGGCGGCGCATGCCTGTAGTCCCAGCTACTTGGGAGGTTGAGGCAGCAGGATTGCTTGAGCCCAGGAGTTTGAGGTTGCTGTGAGCTAGGCTGACATCACGGCACTCACTCTGGCCTGGGCAACAGAGTGAGACTCTGTCTCAAAAAACAAACAAACAAACAAACAAACAACCTGCTATCTGCCTAGCCCCCAGACCCACAGAACTGGGAGGAGTCCAGTGTCCCAAACACACTCCTCATGTTGTTCCCATCTGATGGAGGAGAGGGAGGCTCAGAGCAGGGAAATGACTAGCCCAAGATCACACTGGCAGTGCTAGGCCTGGGGCTCTCATGTCCTTGCACTCCTAGCTCCTAATGACATGTAGAGAGTAAGGAGGCAGGCTTCCTGGCAGAGGACATCAGGGTTAAACTCCCTGTCTGTGCTGTGTCTTGGAATAACCACAGGGTTGAACAGAGTGAAATGGGGGTGAGTGGGTTGTGGAGGTTCCCCCACCTACAGAGGAGGCATGGGCAAAAGCAGGAGGGCCATTTAAACAGACCTCCCTGCCAAGGCCTGAGCTTTCTGGAGTCTGTTACCCACGAAGCCCAGACCAGGGCAGTGTCCCTATCCCTCAACTCTGGAGGAAGTCCTGTCTCCTCCAAGGAGCTGAGAGATAGAGAAAGAACCCCGCCCCAATGGAGTTCAAGATTAGGCAGAGATGAGAAGCAGCTGAGACCTGGCCCGCAGAGAAGGGGGAGCGGGAAGGTGACTGGCCTCTTAGGATCAGGTGAGGAGGGAAGAGAGGCAAGGAGGAGAGGAGGTGGAGAGGAAAGTGCTCCAGGAAGAGGTGAGGAAAGTCCCCCAAGGAACGAGGAATGCTAGTGAACCCCCCACCTGTCAAAATGGAAATGCCCCTCACCCGAAGACGTGAGGAACCCGATCATGCACACCGTAGCCAAGGGTGGGGTGAATGTCTGGGGCCTTGCTCTGCCGTTCGGAGACCTCCCCACCTCGCCCGGGGGTCCAGGCAAGACCCACTTCTCTAGGAAGAAAACAGGAAATCCCGCCCAGGCAGGGGCCGGGACCGGAAGTCCCGCCCTTGGACGGGTGAGGGGCGCCCCGAGGCCCTCCGAGCAACCCCCCGACCCCGTGGATACGATCCTCAGCCAAGGTAAGGATCCCATTGGGACTGGACACCGGAAGGGAAGGCTGTCTAGGATTTGCCTCCGGTCAGACACGACAGTTTTCGCAAGCGATCTCTTTCCAGCGTTCGGCAAAGGGTCGCTGGGTGATCTCTGCCCTCTGTTCTATGTAGGCCATACCCCTCCCATGAGTCGCTTGCCCTCCCAGCGCCCCACTGCCTCAGAATGGCCAAATCTTCCCCACACCGCGGTTCACAACGCCGCCTCCACTCACGTGCCCGTAGCCAGCATGGCCGGCCAGGCGCCGTCGCCGCCCTCAAAAGACATGGCGGCGCCGTGCGTCACGTCCGCGTAGTCCCCCTCCTCCTCCACTCTGCACACTCCGCCTCCCTTATCCGAGCCGCCCGAAGTCAAAATGGCGGCCACAGGGGCTTCATCCGAACCAGTGGGCAACGGCGACAACACGGTGCCCATAAGAGAAATCGTGAAAGAAAGGCTTCAGCTTGCGCAGAAACAAGCCCAGACCATTTCGATATGCCCCCAAGAAATATGGCCGTCCGCACGTGCTCGCTCATGCCCATAATAAACTTAGGGCGAGCGACCTGACGTCCCTCACTCACAATCAACTTCTTCTGCAGAACTGGAGGAAATCTGTTCCCGTTAACGACATGGCAGCCAGCCTGGCTTCATCTGCCCAAAATGTACATGGGCTCTCCCTCCCTCCAACCTTCCCTCCTTCAGCACCAAGGCTGGCAAAGATCCAATACGGCAGAATTCTGGCTTCGGTTTGCCCAGCTTCAAAATGGCGGTTCGGTCCGCTTTTTCTCCACGGTGACTCAGGAATTCGTCTGGGACTGCTTCGTTTCCGGGGGCACTGACGGCTTCATCCCGTTATCCCGAGTCCCTCAGCGCCTCTTGTGGTGGACGGTTCCTCTCACCTTTTCTTTTGTCCGTTCCTCTTTTCCAGCACCTCGCTGTTGCGCCTCTCAGAGAGATGGGACTGCCCCGCATTAACATGGCCTCAAGGCGACCTGGTTTGGTCGTGCCCTCGAGCAAAATGGCACCTTCTTGGCTTCGATGCCAGTATACAATATGGAGAAGGAAATGGGCGTTTCAGGGAGAGCTAGAGCTAGGTGGTGGAGCTCTTGTTAGACCCTCCCACTTGTTTACTTCGTGGTGAGAGTGGTAACACTGCGCCTGCGCACTCTGGCCTGCCCGCTAGCGTCTTCGCCATGTGACTTGAACCTTTGTGGTTAAATTACCCCGTTCTGAAAGATGGTTTCACCCACTTGTGCTCTACAACTGGTACGGGAGCTACCACTCTCCGGCCGTGGGGGGAGTGTCCTTTCCGGAAGTGACAACACGCTGACCCGGAAAAGGAGGAGGCCGGGGCAGTGGGGCTGTCGGCGGCGGCTATGGAAGGTGCTGGCTACAGGGTAAGGATTCTCTCGCTTCTGTCTATTCAAAACGCCCCGGTCCAGCGGTCTGCTTCTCCCTGAGGCTGTTAGGGTACACGGGGAGGTCGGCAGAGCCTTAGCGAACATTGACCTCTCATAAACGCTGTCACTCTCCAGTCCACCGCCCAAGGGGAGACCAAATCTCTGAGCCCCGCCTCCCGGCTCTAGTGACTCTGTGGGCCCACCCCCTTTGGAATGCACACCCACACCCGAACGCCAAGCGTGCCTCTGGGCTGGACCACGCCTGTCCCCTCAGCGGAGGCCTCCATGGCCCCGCCCCCTGAGAATAGCTCCTCTCGGGGTCCACCCCCATTGGCTCCCTCCCGGGCCCCGCCTCCTTGGCCTGTAGGCCCTCACTTGGCCCCGCCCTCCACTGGTTCCTGCCGCCAGGTGGTGTTTGAGAAGGGAGGAGTGTACCTGCATACCAGTGCTAAGAAGTACCAGGACCCGGACTCCCTCATTGCTGGTGTCATCCGCGTCATGGAAAAGGTGGGTTGGGAGGTAGCAGGGCTCAGGCGGGCTCTGAGCCAGCGGGATGGAGGTGGCATCTGTAGAAGTATGGCATGGCTGTCAGCCATGGAACTTTAGAAAGGGTAGGGGGTGGGGGCATAGGAACTGATATAAGAGGCAGGGCTTTGCAAGGTGGAGGGTGGAGAAGTTTGGAAATCTGCAGGGGAGACCTTTGGCAGTGGGGTGTGGGGGCCACCTCTAACACCTCCCGTCTTCCCTCAGGACAATGACGTCCTCCTGCACTGGGCTCCTGTAGAGGAGGCTGGAGATTCCACCCAAATCCTCTTCTCCAAGAAGGTAGGCCTCCCTCCCTTTCCTCTTCACCAACCATTTTTTTCCAGGTCCACACAGTGGAAGGCATTTGTAGGACCTAGGTACAATCCCAGACCTACTCTTGGGGCATGTGTGACCCTGTTTGGAAATCAGGTTCTCTCTGTCCCCCAGTTTTCTCCTCTGTCTGAAATGGGCTGAGGATGCCCATTCTAGAAAAGAGCAGGAACCATGTGACTCAGGCCATGGGGACAGTTGTCCCTTCACCCAGGACCTGACTGAGGCTATTCACCCACTTTGCCAGTGCCCCCCCCCCCCTTATCAAATGTCTCCTGAGGCTTCCTGTGGCCAGGCCCTGTGGTGGCTGATACCGGGACCCAGAGATGAGTCACATGCAGACATCACCTATGCCTTCACCCATACTCTATTCTTTTTTTTGAATTCAAGAAAACTCTTTTAATTCAGAAACATGCATTTTTTAAAAAGACAATAAAGAATTTACTGCTTGAGAAATGGTTAATTCACTTATGTTAACAGATCATCATAATTATATATAGTCTTGAGTAGCTTTACTGAAAAGTGAAATAAAAATGTATGAAAAACAAAAATTCAGTTTGGTCTTAATGAACTTGAATCCTCCAATATAAAGAGGGCTCTTTCAGTATTGCTAGCAGCAAAGCCTATAAAATATGTCACAAGTGACTAGAAATAGACTTTATATATGACTATATATAATTAAGCAAAAATAAAATTGATGATCATTTGGCAATAACAGTTTGGACATGAACTTTAGAAGTAAAAGGTAAAGGAGGCATAATGTTATTTATGAAGATAATTTTCTTCAGCTAATATTTTGGGGATACAAGAAGAAACTTCATTTTGTTATTTTCGCCACTTGAGTATATTCTCTGCTAGTTCTTCTGTCTCAGTCACCAAAACATCCATCTTTGAAAAGCCTTGCTCATTTTCTTTAGATTTGTATTTAAATGAGGGATATGTCTAATTGTTTCAAGATGGTTTTCTAATTTCTCAATGAAAGTCACAGCCAACTCCAACAAATGTACCAAATATCCAAAAAGAAAGGATGAACAATATCTGCTGTATCCTTTGCTAGTTTCAGGAGTTCAATTTCCAGGTTTTTCTGGTAGATTTCAGCTTGAATATTTGTGATCTGCTGTAGTCTGGAGAAGTTCATAAAACAAGAAGCTGTTTTCTCAGATATATTTAACATCTCCTGAGTGACTGTCCCTGAAGCTACGAAGTGGCTCAACAGTAGCCCGGCACCGTTTGGCGCTGATGCCGGGTCCCAGGGGTTGGCAGAAGCCATGGCTCCAACACACCTCTCCGGGCACGCCAAGAGTGAACAGAACCCATACTCTATTTTTGAGAAACTGACACATGATGAAAAGGAGCCATTTTCTGAGATCAAAAAGCTAGGAGGTGTTGGAACTTGGGTTCCATCAGACAGTCTGATTCCAGACCCCCAGCTCTTCCTGAGAAAGCACACGTTTGACCTGGGACTCTCAGGGGACAAGAGGGTATTTCAGGCATGGCAGAAGGAAGCGTGTTTCAGGGCATACTGGGAAGTTGGGTGTCTCTATAGAGTGGTTTGCTAGAAAGGTTGGACCTGAAATACTGAGCTCAGAAGATTGTTTGTCCCAAGCAAACCCCCAAGACTGTGTCCTAGAGGACCCTGGGCAACCATGGGAGAAGGTTGTGGGTGTAGATAACCCCTCGGGGGCCACGTGGAAGCTTGGCTGCAGGACTGAACAGAGGGAGATTAGAGGCTGGGAGGTCTGGGAGGAAGCCGATGTGATGCTTCAGGCAGAGAAGTTAAGCCTCAGCTGGAGTGGGGAGGATAGTGAGGAGGGGACAGATCTAGGAGGCGACAAGGGTTTGACACTTCTTGAATCTTGAAAAAATGCATGGGATTTGACAGGGCAGTGGGCAGAGAGGGCCTTATATAGTCTGTTCAAAGGAATTTGTGGATTTTTGTGATCCTGCACACACCTCACTTGGTCTGGAGGAACATGCTACCAGGAAGGCACCACTGTCCCTGTCAGATGACTTTATAACCTGAGACAGCCTAACGTACTTTCCTGGAGACCCAGGATTTCTAAAGGTGGAGGTTAAAAGAGGTAACGGGCAGTAAGAGCCCAGGAGGGCCTGGCTTCCCCTTCCCCAAGCACCTCATTGTCAGGGGGCCAAGGATGTCTGGGAGGGACAGTTGGGGCAGCACACTGAGATGTGGAACCAGAAAGATGGGGTGTCCCTCTTCTCATGTCTCCCTGGGCAAGTGACTTCACCTTTCAAACCAATTTTCTTTTAGATAGAGCAATTCTGTATTAGAGTTTTTCTTAAATTTCATCAGACTTTCTAAGGACCTGGCCGTGGGGTGGGGGGTACAAATGTAGATTCCAGAGCCCCTCCTGAGGGAGTTGGCTTCACTGTGTTCACAAAGAAGCAGCCAGGATTCTGCACTTTTCACTGATCTCCGAGTGCCTTTCTGGAGGATATTGCTGCTCCTGGCAGTCTTACTCTTGAATAACAGAAACCCACCGAGACAGGCAGAAAAGGCTCACATGCAAATCAAGACACGTCAGCTCCAAGGAGCACCAAAAGTAGGCTGACGGCAGGTTAAGACAACAAGTTTGTTTTTCTCACATCACAAGACTCCAAGAGGTAGGAGCCTGTTGGCCTTGGTTGGGTGACATCAGGGCTTAGATTAGTGAGACCTTACAGTGCTTGCTATAGTGGGCTTTTATTTTTATTTATTATTATTTTTTAATGATAGAAGCTAAATGTTCCAATTTATTCCATCTTCATGATTACAGACATTACTGGGCAGGGTGGGTAAACAAGGCAAATAAAGCAAACCCCACCACCACCCATTTAACCAGATGTGGCATTTTGGCGTTTTTAGACTCTTCAGGTTGACTTAATTCATTGACTTAGGTTGAAGGCTGACGGCAGCAAATCTTTGCCATTGAGGTTCTTCCTCCATTGCTATTCCAAGCTCTGAAATGGTGTTCACTGCAACATTCTTGGAGTTTTCATGTTTTTATCTGATTCCTCTCATTAAGGCAGGGAACTGTCTGTTCAAAGCTGTCTTCCTCTTCTCTAATCTGGGCCACCAAGCAATCCTAGCACTCTGGGAGGCTGAGGCAAGAGGATCACTTAAGGCCAGCAGTTCAAGACCAGCCTGAGCAAGAGCAAGACCCTGACTCTACAAAAAAATACAAAAATTAGCCGGGCATGATGGCGCACACCTGTAGTTCTAGCTACTCTGGAGGCTGAGGCAGGAGGATTGCTTGAGCCCAGGAGTTTGAGGTTGCATTGAGCTATGATGACACCACTGCCCTCTAGCCCGGGCAACAAAGTGAGACACTTTTTCAAAAAAAAAAAAAAAAAAAGAGTTGGACTGACACCTGATGCCGCAGAACTGACCCACAGGGGAGCTGTCATCACTGTCAGAATGAGAGTGGTAAGGAGTGAGAACTCATCGGAGTTGTCACCCAAGGCTGGAAGCCACTTGGCATCCACAGTGGCTGGGCACTGGAAGACTGAGCTGGTCACCACCACTGCCCCAGTTGCCTCTCCACGTACAGCCAGAGCAGCAGGAAGTTGCCCTTACCTCATTTCCGCTTTCCAGATCTGACTGTATCTGGTTGGTAGAATCTATCACGGTCCTCTAACTCTAGCTGCAAGGAAACCTGGGAAATGTAGTTTTTAGCTTTCCAGCCTCTGCAGTAGAGGAAGGCCCACTGGCATGGGAATGGACTCAGTTGCCACATGTACTTTGTCCCTTCCCTGTCCTTCCTGGGTTGTCACCAGCACAACAAGCTTTTACTGCACTGGAATATTCAGCATGGTCCTCACCTGTACCATTTCCCTGAGTCTGCCCAGCAGCCCCCAGAGCCATCAAGAGCAGCTGCTGCTTGTACCGTGTGCTGGGCCCCATACCTGGCCTTTTGGGTTATTTTCAGAGCAACCTGTAAGGGAATTATTTTTTTCCTTCATTAAGATATAATAGGCCGGGCGCGGCGCGGTGGCTCACGCCTGTAATCCTAGCTCTCTGGGAGGCTGAGGCAGGAGGGTCGTTTGAGCTCAGGAGTTCGAAACCAGCCTGAGCAAGAGCAAGACCCCATCTCTACTATAAATAGAAAGAAATTAATTGGCCAACTAATATATATAGAAAAAACTTAGCCGGGCATGGTGGCGCATGCCTGTAGTCCCAGCTACTTGGGAGGCTGAGGCCGTAGGATCGCTTGAGCCCAGGAGATTGAGGTTGCTGTGAGCTAGGCTGACGCCACAGCACTCACTCTAACCTGGGCAACAAAGTGAGACTCTGTCTCAAAAAAAAAAAAAAAAAGATATAATACATTTACTATAAAAATTCAATTTTATAGTACAGTTTAAAATTTTTCAGGCTGGGCATGGTTGTTCACGCCTGTAATCCTTGCACTTTGAGAGGCCGAGGTGGGAGGATCACTTGAGGCCAGGAGTTCAAGACCAGCTCCGGGAACATAGTGTGACTCCCATCTCTACAAAAAATAAAAAATTAGCAGAGCATGGTGGCCCATGCCTGTAATCCCAGCGACTCTGGAGGCCAAGGTGGGAAGATCGCTTGACAAGCTCATGGGTTCAAGGTTACAGTGAGCTAGGATCTTGCCAGTGAATAGCCACTGCACTCCAGCCTGGGCAGCACAATGAGACCTCATCTCTACAAAAATTTTTAAAAAATAGGCCAAGCATGGTGGTGTAGCTTTGCAGTCCCAGCTGTTTGGGAGGCTGAGGCAGGAGGATCGCTTGAGCCCAGGAGTTCAAGGCTGCAGTGAGCTGTGATTGTACCACTGCACTCCAGCCTGGGTGACAGAGCATGACCCTGTTTCCAACTATGTAGTTCAGTGGTTTTCAGTGTATTCATAAAGTTGTGCAATCATCACTGCTGTTTAATTTCAGAGCATTTCATCATCCCCAAAAGAAACCCTGTACTTGTTGGCAGTCACTGCCCATTCTTCCCTTCCTGGAGGCCCTGACCATGATTTTACTTTCTGTCTCTGGATTTGCCTGTTCCGGATGTTTCGTATAAATGGAATTACATGATACATGGTCCTTTGTATTGGGTTTCTTAGGGTATTTTCAAGGTCTGTCCACGTTGTGGCAACAAGGGTACTTTGTTTTTTGTTTGTTTGTTGGTTTTTTGTTGGTTTTTTGTGAGACAGAGTCTCACTTTGTTGCCCAGGCTAGAGTGAGTACCATGGCGTCAGCCTAGCTCACAGCAACCTCAATCTCCTGAGCTCAAGCGATCCTGCTGCCTCAGCCTCCCAAGTAGCTAGGACTACAGGCATGCGCCACCATGCCAGGCTAATTTTTTCTATTTTTTTTTTTTTTTTAACAAAGTCACTGCCATTGAATAATTTTTTCTATATATATTAGTTGGCCAATTAATTTCTTTCTATTTATAGTAGAGATGGGGTCTCACTCTTGCTCAGGCTGGTTTCGAACTCCTGACCTTGAGCAATCCGCCCACGGCCTCCCAGAGTGCTAGGATTACAGGCGTGAGCCACCGCGCCCGGCCACTTTGTTTGTTTTTAATGCTAAATTGTATTCCATGGCATGGTTGTGCCACGTTTTGTTTATTCATCGGTGTCGTGGACATTTGGGTTGTTTCCACCTTTTGGCTATTGTGAGTACTGCTGTAAGGAACGTAGCAGTAGTGAGTTTCTGTGTTATCATTTCTCCTGTTAGTGGCATTGCTGGGTCACTATGGTAACTCTGTATTTAACCTTCTGAGGAATTGCCAGACTTTTCCAAAGTGGTGGCACCATTTTACATTCCCGCCAGCGGTGTATGAAGGTTCCAGTTTTTCTACATCCTCGAAAATACTTATTTTTTTTGGTGCCCGCCATCCTAGCAGGTGTGAAGTGCTATCTTAAGGTGGTTTCCATTTGCACCTCCCTAGTGAGGACCAGCCGCTCCTCTGAGCACCGCCAGTAAGGCTGCAGAGCTACCTGCTGCGTAGCGTTGACCTCCCCGTGCACCGGGAGACTGGATTCAAGCCCCGGCTCACTTCTTGGCTGCACTGAGTGATGCCGAGCAAGTGCTGTACCTCCTTTGTGCCTCAGTTTCCCTCTTTGTTCCATGGGGCTACCTTCCAGGGTGGCTTTGAGGCTCAGATCTGGAAACTCTGAATCTGTAGCCCCTCACTCTCTTCTCCTTTCTTCCCACAAGGACTCCAGTGGGGGTGACTCCTGTACCTCTGAGGAGGAGCCGACCTTTGACCCTGGCTATGAACCCGACTGGGCTGTCATCAGCACTGTTCGGGCACAACCCCGCCACTCAGAGCCCACGAGAGGTAGGCTGAGCTGGTGCCCCTTGGGGGCAAGTGGGAGCAAGTGGGACATGTCTTGCCTTCAGTGGGCATGGTCCCAAGGGCTTTGCTGCCCACAGTCAATATGGCTGCCCTTCACCGCCTTCCTGTCCCAGGAGAGAAGTGCTTGGGGCACAGGACTCTGTCCACCCAGATGCAGCATGGCCAGCTTCTTTGGGGGTTGCAGCCTTGCTCATCCAGGCTCCCAGACGGGCTGTGGGCACCCCTATACAAGTCCTGCCTCTGCAGGTTTGAGGCTGGTGGGGTAACAGGTGAAGCCAGTCGGGGTGACTCTCATCTTCCTAGAGTCACACAGGCTGATGGGCACATCCAGAGAAGCTACCTGATCCTTCTGGGAAGTGCAGGTGCCTTCCAGGAAGAGGTGATGCCAGAGCTCGACTCTGAGGGACGCTGGGAGTTGTGTCTCCCGGCAGAGAGCGCAGCCTGTACAAGCCAGGGGCTGGTGGCAGCGGGTGTGTTCAGGGAGCCACCAGCCTTTCATGGTGGCTCGAGTGTGGGGTTGGAATGAAGAGGGTCTTGGCAGTGAGACAGGCAAGGGGCCTGGGAAGGTTCTAGAACAGGCATGGGTCCACCGGGCTCCCCTCCCGTTTTATTCATTTGTACTTCCAAGGAAATGTGAGGTGACCTACAGTTCCCAGAGACCAGGGCCAGGGGTGGCTCGTGGGGGGCCCTCAGGAGATGACTGTGCTAAAGGGCCAGCCTAAGTTGACGTGGCTGCCTCCGGCCTCCCACACCTCTCCCAACATGGCGTCACCCCTCCAGGCGCAGAGTCCAGCTCCCCCCGGGCCTCGTGGGCCTTCTCCGTGAGTCTGGGGGAGCTCAAGTCCATCCGCCGTTCCAAGCCGGGCCTCAGCTGGGCCTACCTGGTCCTGGTGACCCAGGCTGGGGGCTCCCTGCCCGCCCTGCACTTCCACCGCGGGGGCACCCGCGCCCTGCTCCGTGTCCTCAGCCGCTACCTGCTGTTGGCCAGGTGAGTCTTCTCCCCATGCTGAGCCTCTGACGGGCCCTGTCCTTTGACAGTGTCAGCCTGACCCCTTGGGGGCAGTGAGAGAAACACACGCAACTGATTTAGAGGAAGGAAGAAGGAGTTGACTGGCCCAAGTAACAGAAACCAAAGGGCAGTGTTCATTTCAGGCGGGACCCAGGTCCCAAAACATTGGCAAGAGTTGCTCTATTTTCCTCTGAGCTTCTGTCACTGTCTGGGCCCCCCGTTAGCCCTGGCTTAGCAATCCTGGTGGCTAGGAAGTGACTTTTTCCCCACATTCCAGCAGGATCCCAGGGCTGCCTCTCATTGGCTCACCCCTGAGTCAGTCACCCTGGCCAGGAAGATGCAAGGCCCTCACTGGCCAGCCCTGAGCCACGTGCCCACCCCTGGGGCCCAGTGCTGGTCACAGGCCTCCCCCTTAACACCCCTGAGATGAGGGATTCCCTAAGGGTGGCCGGGACACTGCCGCTGGAACAAATGTAGGGTGGGCATGGACAGCCTGGGACCCTGGGCCCTACCTGTGCGTCGTCACCTGTTTGTCGCCTCCTGTCTCCCAGCTCCCCCCAGGACTCCCGCCTCTACCTTGTCTTCCCCCACGACTCCTCCGCCCTCTCCAACTCCTTCTACCACCTGCAGCTCTTTGACCAGGACAGCTCCAACGTGGTGTCCGTGAGTGTCGCTGGTGCCCGGCCTGGCGGGGGGTGGGCAGGGAGGGATGAGAAGGGGAGGGCCGTGACCATCCCCGGCCTTGTCCCCAGCGCTTCCTCCAGGACCCCTACTCCACCACCTTCAGCAGCTTCTCCCGAGTGACCAACTTCTTCCGGGGAGCCCTGCAGCCACACCCCGAGGGGGCCTCCCCTGACCTGCCCCTGCCACCCGATGATGAGCCTGAGCCAGGGTTCGAGGTCATTTCCTGTGTGAGTATCCAGGGGACCCTCCCTGTTCCTCTCTGGCTATGTCACTTTGGGCACATGACTTTATTTCCTTGGGCCTCAGTTTCCTCCTTGGTAGAACGGGGACAGTACTGGTATCCCCTCAGCAAGTGGCAGGAGTGATTTCAGAGGTGCACGCAGCTGTGGCAGGCATGGAGAGCACCTGATGGCTCTTATTACTAGGGGGGACCCTTCCTGACTTGGGGGCGACTTTGTTGCCGACCCAGAGAAGGAGCTGCCTCCTGTCCCTGGAGGTGGGCTGTGGACTGAGACAGGGTGGGGCAGAGCCAGCCAAGCCCCTGGGCTCACTGGCCCAGCATCCCGCAGGTGGAGCTGGGGCCTCGGCCGGCCGTGGAACGGACGCCTCCGGTCACAGAGGAGGAGTGGGCCCGCCACATGGGCCCCGAGGGCCGCCTGCAGCAGGTCTCGGAGCTGAAGAGCCGGATCTTCTCTGGGGTGAGCGCTGGGTGAGGCCGGGTGGGGGTGAGGATGGGTGGGGCCGGGAGGGGTCCCCTCCGCTGAGCTGCCCGCCCCACTGCGCCCTCAGGGTCTGAGCCCCGGCCTGCGGCGCGAGGCCTGGAAATTCCTCCTGGGGTACCTCAGCTGGGAGGGCTCAGCTGAGGAGCACAAGGCGCACATGCGCAGGAAAACGTGAGTGACAAGCTGCGCCCTGACCCCCATGTCCTCGGGAGCCCCTCCTCGCCAGGCACAGCAGCTGGCGCGCCACAGGGGCTCCGACGGGCAGATGGGCGCGTTGCATGAACGCCGGTCTGGAGCCTGCCATGTGCTGGGCACTGTCCTGCCCCCGGGGGAGATGGCAGCGAACGGGCCAGCCCCGTCCCTAGCCCTGTGTGGTCCGTCTCCCGCCTCCATGGCTGTTTTCGTTCCTGCGCCGTGCTGTTCTCAGGATCACAGCTTTGCAGCGTGTTTTATAACCCAGGAGGGCCCATCTCTCCGCATTCCCGGGTATATCATGCACCTGCTGTGTGTCCAGCCCCGTGCTGGGCACTGAGGATGCAGCAGTGCCTCACTGTTCCCTGACCCTGAGGTTCTCTGTCCTGCATGGGGGGGACAGACTGTCACCAAAAGTCCCCAAGGATGTCTACGTAGTGATGTCAGGAGAGAGGAGCGTGAGGAGCGGTGGCAAGAGTCACTGGGTGGCCCGCTCGGGTTTGCGTGGTCAGGGAGGGGCTCTGGGATCCGAGCCCTGAAGGATGGAGAGGTGGCCGGGAGGTCCTCAGGTGCTTCCCCGGGTGCTGCAGCGAGGGGCGTCCGAAAGTATCAGCTCTCCCCACCCTCAGGGACGAGTATTTCCGCATGAAGCTGCAGTGGAAGTCTGTGAGCCCCGAGCAGGAGCGGAGGAACTCACTGCTGCACGGATACCGCAGCCTCATCGGTGGGTGCGGGCAGCACATGGGGTGGGGTGGGAGCAGGTGCGAGGGAGAGAGGAAGGAGACCCTCCCACGACCACGGACAGGTCACCTGGGAGGAAAGAGGGGTGAGCAGTGGCAGGAATGGCCAGGGAGGGACAGGGCAGGGAAAAGGGAACTCAGGCCACATTGGAGTCAAATCTCAGCTCTGTTATTTACTCACCGTGAGATCTTGGCAGGTGATTTCACCTCCCTGGGCCTCAGTTTCCCCACCTGTAGGAGGATAAGTTGGTAATTGTGGGTCTGGTATGTCACAGCAAGAGTGTTAGTGACGGTTTCTAGAACTGGCTCTGCTCCTCCCCCAGAGCAAGCCCCAAGTCGGGGGCTGGTGCTGATGGGCAGTGGGGACAGGCCACCTCACCTTTGCACCTGCGCCCCCTCCCCACAGAGAGAGACGTGAGCCGCACTGACAGGACCAACAAGTTCTACGAGGGTCCAGAGAACCCAGGGCTGGGCCTGCTGAACGACATCTTGCTCACGTACTGCATGTACCACTTCGACCTGGGTAGGGTGCGGCCCAGGTGGGGAGGTCTTCCATGGGGCGGGGCGAAGAGGGCCTGGGCTGGACCCTAATCCCGTATCCCCCCCTCCAGGCTACGTCCAGGGCATGAGTGACCTTCTCTCCCCGATCCTCTACGTCATTCAGAACGAGGTGGATGCCTTCTGGTGTTTCTGCGGCTTCATGGAGCTCGTGGTGAGCTATCTCCCACCTCAGGGCAGGGGTGGGAGACAGGCAGAGGCCCCTCAAAGGATTAGGGGTCTCTGCTCCTCATGAAGCCCACCCCTCCCCCTCCTTGCTCCCTCCTCCCTCCCGCAGCAAGGGAACTTTGAAGAGAGTCAGGAGACCATGAAGCGGCAACTTGGGCAACTTCTGCTGCTCCTGAGGGTGCTCGACCCCCCGCTCTGTGACTTCCTGGGTATGTATCTTGGGTGGGTGGGCAGGAAACAGTGGGGCCACAGACCTTGCCAAAGATTCTCTGGTAGCAGTGACAGATGGCATCCTGGACATTTGGTTCTGATCCAAACAAGAGAAACACCCCTATGTAACCCAGAACCTAACACTTACATGTCAAGGCAGAATTGCAGTTTGGAGCAAAACCTCAGCAAATGCAGATATGCGGGCACTGTCACTCGCCCTGCGTGCCAGGCGAGCTGGCTACCTCTTGCTCACCTGGATCCTGTTTTGGCTTTAACTTTAGCTTAATCTGCTGGATACTTTTCAGAAATAAGGACCTGCGTGTGGCTCCTGCCACTTCTTATCTCCACCCAGCTGCTTCTCACCCTGTGCCGGGGCTCTGAAAATGGTTCTCTGGGCCCGAGGTAGTGGCTCACACCTGTAATCTTAGCACTCTGGGAGGCCAAGGCAGGAGGATTGCTTGAGCTCAGGAGTTCAGCATCGGTGTGAGCAAGAGTGAGACCCCATCTCTACAAAAAAAAGAAAAAATTAGCCGGGCATGGTGGCGCATGCCTGTAGTCCCAGCTACTCGAGAGACTTAGGCAAGAGGATTGCTTGAGCCCAGGAGTCTGAGGTTGCTGTGAGATATGATGATGCCACTGTGCTCTACCCAGGCAACAGAGAGAGAGACTCTGTCTCAAAAAACAAAACAAAAAAAGAAACCAGTTGTCTGGCCACCAGGGCTGCTGCATTCCTGCTGTAAAATTGTTCTTCATTACTTGTTCAATGTGAAAAATGCAGGAAATTCAGGTAAAGAAAAGATACAGTCGCTGTTGGTGGTATCACCTTCTGAGTGCAGGTGGGGATGGTGGCGTTGACTTAGGTATGGACGTTCCCTCCCCGCAGCTTTGGGACCCCCAGGGGAGGGAGCAGAGTGACTCTGGGCCTCATCTCACGGAAGAGGAAACTAAGTCTTAGCGAAAGCACACGTCACTTCCTGGGGCACACAGACATAAGCTGCCTCTGTGTCATTCAGATCTCCCAAAATGTCACTTTCACTGACTGCAGGAGATCCTGTCCACCTGAGCATGGTGGGACTGATTTAATGGGCCTGCTGGAGACTTGGGTCGTTTGCAGTTTTGAAATGCGCGTCCTGTGTCGGTTCCGGAACAGTTACCACAGCAGCGAGTGTCTGTGCTGGCAGCGTAGCTGCAGTGCCAGCGTCCTCAGCCTTCACCGGCACCGGCTGCCAGCATCCTTGGGTGTGTCGGTCTTACCACGTCCCTTCCACACCAGTGGCATGTGGAGACAGTATGATAGGAAAGGCCCCCAAAGTGCTCCTGCCTCTGAAGTCCCCTAAGCTGGGCATAAGCTACTCACCGAGTCTGGGGGATGGCCAGGATCACTGAGCGTCTCCGTCCAAACGCCAGTGGGATCCGAGTGGGTTTTGGGCCTGGTTTTCGTGGCACTCCAGCCGTGGGTGACGCTGAGTTGACTCCTGTCCTCCCCCAGACTCCCAGGACTCCGGCTCCCTCTGCTTCTGCTTCCGGTGGCTGCTCATCTGGTTCAAGAGGGAATTCCCCTTCCTGGATGTCCTTCGCCTATGGGAGGTGGGCCAGCCGGTTTGGGTGGGAGGCCTGAAGGGGGCTCTCCTACCCGTAGGAGGGGCTGGGAGGTTGGGGCAGATGGGCAGAGAGTGTCACAGCAGACCTGAGGGGGACCTTGGGCAGAGGCTGGGCCATGACTCCTCCCTCCCTCTGGCACCCCCAGGTGCTGTGGACAGGGCTCCCTGGCCCCAATCTGCACCTGCTGGTGGCCTGTGCCATCCTGGACATGGAGCGGGATGCCCTCATGCTGTCCGGCTTCGGCTCCAACGAGATCCTTAAGGTGAGGGCAGGTCCCTCTCTTCCAACCTAGCCTGACCTGGGCGTGGAGCCCGTGCTACGGTGCATTGTGGGAGTAGGCGCTCACAGTGGAATTATTGACAGTATGGTTAGCTGTGGGCACTGTGGGCCGGGCCTGGGTCAGTCTTCTACCCCATCCTATCCCTGCCCAGCAGTGTCCTCACAGAGCAGGTGTGGGGGGACCTGCCTCTCCCCAGGACACGAGTCAGTGGCGGGGCGGGGGTCTTCCTCCACTGTATCAGCCTCTGGCAAGCAGTGAGTGCTCCTTGAAGGCCTGAGAAGCATGACCCCTGATGGCCCAGCTGCCTCCGAGCCCCCAGAGGGCCAGCCCTGTCTTGTCTTCCCCCGTTGTGTCCCCAGCACGAGGCAGAGCGGGCGCCCGGGCGGCGGTGGTTGAGTGTGCCGCCTGGCGCCTGACCCGCCCCTCCCGCAGCACATCAATGAGCTGACCATGAAGCTGAGTGTGGAGGACGTGCTGACGCGGGCCGAGGCCCTGTACCGGCAGCTGACCGCCTGCCCCGTGAGTCCCCACCCCTCCCAGTGCCCTCCCGCCAGCAGCCCTCTCACCCCTGCTCGCCTCTGACTCACCTGACGCTTCCTGCCCCCCAGGAGCTGCCCCACAACGTGCAGGAGGTCCTGGGTCTGGCGCCGCCTGCGGAGCCCCACAGCCCTTCACCCCCTGCCTCCCCACTGCCACTGTCACCCACCCGGGCCCCGTTGGCCCCCCCGCTCCCCGCAGACACAGACACAGCCCCGCAGCCTGACAGCAGCCTGGAGATCCTGCCTGAGGAGGAGGAGGACCGGGCGGACTCCTAACCCTGCTGGGCACGTGACCCGCACGGGCACTTTATCCTGTCCCCTGGGGGGCCAGGAGGGCCCTGGGAGGGGCGGGTGTGCTCCTGATAAACTGATTTCATTAAACACACTTCTCACGTCCAGTTAGCCCCGTGTCCTTGGGGGAAGAGGCTGCCACTTTGGCTCCGACCTGGATGGGGAAGGGGTAGTGGCTCAGGTCCCCTCTGACGGCTCCCCAGAGCTGAAGCCTGACCAGGTGGCCCCGAGCCAGCCAGTGAGACGCAGAAGGAGGCCCCTGGGGTGGGTGACGGGGCTCGGTTGAGGCGAGGCTCCCTCACCTGCCTGAATTGTTGTTTTGGAGGAGTGACGATGAGGCACTCAGAGCTGGGGCTGTCACTTAAGTGGCTGTGCCAGGACACATCCCGGACATAACTGAAATGCAGGGGCCTGTGGAGCTGCACACTCTGGGGACCTTGCCTACCAGCTGCTGCTTAGTGAGAAAAATAAACTCGTTTAACCAATGGTCAGTTGGATTTTGTTACTCCCATCTGCGGGTCACTGTGATTACCGTTTGCCAGTGGTGTGAGGCAGAGTGTGCGTCCTGTTCCTCCGCTCCCCCCACGGAGCCCTGCTGTCCAGGAGGAAGGAAGGGGCAGCTGCTTCTGGGGCTCCAGGACAGGCACCGCATTTTTTTTTTAAAGGTCCAGAATGACAGATTCTAAGCTCTAGGCGCCGCCTTGCTAACCAGATAATGGCTTTGGTTCAGGCGAACTAGGAACAACTGAGGCAAGGAAGAGGCTGGACCACCCAGCTTTTTCGGAAAATACTTTAATTCGAGGTCCTCTGTTGGGTCGTGTGTGGGAGAGAGAACTGGAGTTGGAGTGGAGGTTGGCTAGTGTCTCCCTTTGCCTCCAGTGGGGTGCTGGCCACCAAGTGATTATTACGGCCCTTCCGCACCCTCGGCTTCTGGATGCTGGCGATCTGGGACATGGTGTTGATCCTAATGGCAGCTCGCAGCGCCGACTTGACAGCCGTCTCCACCCAGCCGTGTGGGTAGGCCGTGTGCTCCCCGGCGAAGTAGATGCGGCCATAAGGGATCGCCCAGTTATAGTCCTGTGAGTTGTCCTTGTCGCTGCGCCAGAGCATTGGCGGCTGCACCACGAAGCCACCCTGGCTGTGCGGGTCCTCTCCCCAGCGCTTGACAATGCCCCTGCCGTCCCAGAGCTGGTACACTATCGGCCCGTGCAGCGCCGCCACGTCGTGGAGCGCCAAGCGCATCGCCTCGTTCAGGCTCAGGCCGGCGAACGCGGCGGCGGAGTCAGACCACGTATACGAGGCCAGCAGCAGCGCGCCTTCGTTCGGCTGCGGGTAGAATATCATGCGCGACGGGCGATTGGTGTTCGAGTGGCCGCCTTCGATGTGCTCATCTTGCCAGAAGGGCTGGCGGAAGCTCAGGTATACCTTGGTGGCCGGCACGTAGTGCAGCCCACGCAGCGACTCCTGCAGTCTGCGCGGCAGCGGCGGCGAGAAGTTTATGCGCTGCACCGCCGGCCCGCTCGCCGTCAGCAGCACCACGTCCGCGATCAGCGACTTGAGGTTGTGGTGGGAGGTGGCGAGCTGCACTTGCACATGGTGCAGCCTCTGCGTCATCGCCACGACCGGCGAGTTCAGCAGCACGGGCCCCGACAGCGAGCTCAGCAGCGCGCGCGGCAACATGTCCCAGCCGCCGACGATGCGACTGAACCTGCGGGCCAGGCGAGCGCGTGACCCGGGGTCTGCGCCCCGCCCCTCTGCGTAGGCCCCGCCTACCCTCGCTGCTTGCCCCTCTTGGCACCTGCCGGCTCCCGCTAGGCCCGCCCGTCTGCCTCTCCCTGACCCCGCCGGTTCTCGCTGTTCCCGAGGCCTGAGGAGTAGGGCATTGTGCGACCCCAGAACCCTGCCACTGCTCCTCTGGACCACGCCCTTCCCGGGAACCATTCTAACCAGTTCCTCCGAGGACCCGGATGCCTGGGCCCGCGCGGCCCGACCACCTCGCCAACCCTTAGCCTCTTTCCGCACCCCTCGGGCCACGCCCTTCCCGCGGCTCCACCCACCCAATCCCCGCGGCCCCACCCACTTCCCGTTACTCTCCCCGATTGGCCTCCGCCCGCCCCGCCCCTAACCGCGGGGCCCGCCCCTCACTGGATCTGGTCGCTGAGGCAGCTGTGGGCACGGATGGCCTCCAGGAAGCTGAGATAGAAGAAACCATCCTTGGACATCACATCTCCTAGGAGCTGTATGGCCGGCCAGCTCAGGTTCCCCTCCCCGACGAGGTATTCCTGCGGGGTGGGTGCGGCCCGAAGTCAGGCCCTGCTCCGTCCCCACTCCCGTGGGGACTCCTCCCCAGCTGGGATTGATTCCCTGGCACCAAAGGGATTTGGTCTCCCCTCCCCAGGAAGTAGATGTGGCCATAAGGGATCGCCCAGATGAGGGAAACTGAGGTCCAGAGAGGGGGTGTGTCCAGCCCTTTGGTCAAGCAGGGAGGCGGTGGCCCGACTGGGGTCTGGTGTCCTGCTTTCTGACTCTTTGGGGAAGGCCCCATGGGCACCCTCTTTGCCCCCATTTCCCAGACAGCAAAGCTGGGGCCCCACTCACTAGGAGCGTGCGCCTTTCAAATTTCTTCATTGCCTTTCTGCAGCCCAGTACCTTGAGATCTTCCAGGGCCTGTCGTGGAACAAGCAGACGGTGCTGAGCTGCCAGCTCAGGAGGGGTGAAGGCCCAGCCTAGAGGCCAAACCTGGGTCCTCCCCCTGGTTCTGCCCCCAGCTGGCCATTGCCACTCTCTTTCAAGCCCTGGGCTTTTGCCCATGCTGTGCCCTCAGCATGCAACTCAGGTGCCACCCTTCCCTGCAACTCAGGTGCCACCCTTCCCTGCAACTCAGGTGCCACCACTCCAGCAGGTCTTCCCAAACCGTCAGTACCCCCTCAGCCCTTGGCATTCAGCCCACCTGGGTTGTCACCTCTCATCCCAGTTGGGTGTCATTTTGCCTATTTCTGTGCTAGCCTGTGAGCTCCATGAACACAGGGCTTGTGTCTGTCCTGGTCCTGCTCGGTAATTATTTGTTGCCTGGATCATTGTGGGCTGGACAGAAGCTGAGTCCCCTCTGCCACCTGTCAGCACTGACGGGGCATGACCACTCAGGGAACTCCCCGAGGAAAGAGGTGCCTCTTCACTCAGTCACTCATTCACCTCCCATGTCCCCAGGCTCCCCAAACTGGTCACTGTCAGGGCACAGAAATGACCTGGATTCGGCCCCCTCTCTTATCTAGGATGGGAGATGGGCAAGTAAGGGGCTCTCAACAGAGTGGGGTGTGGCCGGCTCCGGCTCCGCCCTAAGGGCCTCCAGGAGGAGGGAGGGGCAGTTCCCTGGGAGGGAAAGGGAGAGGCATGGGCTCGGGCCATGACCAAGCGCAGTGGGTGAGAAGGAACACAGAGCCGGGGGCATCTGGAGCACCGTGAAGACTTTGGGGGTGACGGAAACTTCTTAGAGGAGAAAAGATGAGGCTAGGGGGGTGGGGCAGGTAAGGCCATTCAGGACTGGAACCTGAGAAGCTGGGACTTTGTCCTGGAGGCTTTGGGAGTCACAGGGGCTGTGAGCCCAGTCACTCTGGGTGTGGAAAAGCCTCCTGGTGCCAGGTGGGGGACACTGAGGCTGGGCAGCTGGGGAAGAGGGTGGGGGAGAGGAGGAGGCCTGAGCTGGGGTAGGACAGAGGGGTAGGAGCAGGGCCGGAACTGAGGGTGGGGGAGAGGAAGACGAGGCTGGGGTAGGGATCTGGGGGCCCCTGAGGGTCTGTGGGTGCCGGGGCATGGAGGTGCCCCCAGGCATATGAGCGGGCTTAGGGGGGCTGAGCTCAGCGGAGCTGGAGGGGCCCAGGAGAGGGTCTGGGTCTCAGGAGACAGACTTAGGGGACACCAGCCTGTAGATGCAAGTCTAGGCCGAAAGTGTAGAAAGGAGAGGTTGTCCAGGACAGTGTGCGGGTGAGAAGAGGAAGAAGGGAACAAAAGCGGTGGCACTTCGGGACCAGCAGTGTCTATGGGGAATCTAAAGCCTGAAGAGCCAGTGACGGGAGACCAGAGGGGTGACGGAGAGAAGGAAAGCCAGGCCAGGGAGCAGGCTGGGGGACGCCGTGCAGGGGAAAGGCAGGGGGCATGGGGCGGGAGGAGCACGGGCAGCGCACCTTGTTGAGAGCCATCTGGTAGATACCTTCGGGCGAGTGGCCCTTCTCGCTGGGGCGCAGGGCGTAGCCCAGCTTCTCGGGCATCTTCTCCACCACGTAGTTCCGCAGCTTCACGTTGTTCGCTTCCGTCCACGTGTTCTCGTCGTACTGGGTGAATTTGGTCAGGTTGAGGCCCAGGCTGTGGCAGAGCTTGTGCAGGATCCTGAGGACGGGAGGTTGGGTGAGGGGGGGGTCGGGTGGGGTGGCCCCACCCCTGGCGGGGGTTGGAGGAGGGAAGGGGGCGGGCAGGGTGGCTGGGGACAGGCATGAGGCCAGGGGTGGGGCGGGATTTGGGGTTGTCAGCGCGGGAGGACGGAAGTGAGATGGCGTTGGAAGGCTGAGGGCAGGACGAGGAGCAGGGCTGGGGTAGGAGCGGGAGTTGGCTTTCCTTGGGGATGAAGTTAGGTCCTGGATTAGATTTGGGATGGGAATAGACTTTGGGTTACACAGAGGATTGGATGGGGCAGGGCCTGGGCCTGGGCCTGGGGAGGTCGAGCTGGAGGCCTAGAGGGTACAACAATGGAGCTGGCTTTGGGCTGGGCAGGGCTGGCCGGACCAGGTGGCCTGAGCGTGGCAGGAGGCACGGTGCTGGGGCTGGAGCCAGGAGACCATCAATCGGGAGCAGGTGAAGGATGGAGCTGGAGGTTGGGTCTAGACCTCACTTGCATTGGGGGTCTAGGCTCGAGGAGTCAAAGTTCAAGTTGGGGTCTGGCTGAGTCTGGGCACAGCGGTGGGGCTGGCGGTGGCCCCGGTGCCTGCCTGGGTCAGGCCTCACCTGTGGGAGCTGGGCATGCGCATGGCTCCCAGCTCCCCAATCCAGCCAGTCTTCTGGTCCCGGTAGGTGAAGATGCGGCCCCCGACCCTGTTGTCTGCCTCCAGGATGGTGACCTGCAGGAAGGGGTGGGGGCGCTTCAGCTCCTCCCGCTCACCATCCCCAGCCACCCCGCCCTGTGCCAGCCCCGGCCTCCTTCCGTCCCCACAGACCTGGCCTGCAAGGGTCCCTTTCTTTGTGGGAGGTGGGGGGCTGGTGGGAGAACAGCACAGAGCAAGCAGTTCCAGGCGGCAGCACACGGCCACCAGTTAGACTGCAAAGGGACTTCCCAGCTCAGGGAGTGGGGACATTTCCCGTATGCCTAGAAACCCCTGGGTTAGCCCATTCTCATTCTTGGATTTCAGTGGGAGAGACAGTGGTTAGACCTTAGGGGGCACTTCCCCTTGGTGGAATTTCCGTCTCCACCAGCACACCCCACCCAGCTCAAGTCAGAG